GAACACAAACCTAGGAGTGGGATTACTGCATCATAAAGTATTTCTATTTCTTCTTTTTAAAGGAGTGCCACACTGTTTTACATAGTGGTTGTATCATTTTACAATTCCACCAACAATAAGAGTTCCAAGCGCCCCCCCACACACACACACCCAACATTTTGTTCTTTCTCTGTTTTTGTTTTGTTGTGTTTTTAAATCATTGCCAGTTTTGCAAGGTTGAGATGGTCTCATTGTCGTTTTGATTTGCATCTCTCTAATGCCTAATGATAGCGGTGATGATAATTTCTTTTCTAAGAATTAATGCCCAACTAGTGTTAAGGAGTTAGAGATGGAAAAATCCATCTTCCAAACTCCAATTCTTGCAAGATGATAATCTGCTCCACTCCTCCCTTGAGTATACCGGCATTTCTCTGGGTTCTGGGAATTGCTGCAGGGTCCCACAGAATTTATGAAAGCTCAAGGAAATATCTCATGAGTTGGTTGATGCAGTTCAGGTCAAAGTCCAAAGGTCAGGCAAGGGTAAGCCAGATGCTAGGGCTAGAGGATGCACTCCTGGCTCTTATTGGTGGTGAGAGCACATCCCTTGCTGTTCAGTGGATTCACAGAGGATGGCATTGCTGGGAATCCTATTCAGAATTCCTCACAGCTCAATCCTCTTAGTATCTTCCCTACCTTTTTACCAGACCTATGCAGGGAAAGAGAGAAAAGACAGGGCTTTCTACTCCAGTAGAGTTGCAGTCTCAGAAACTCACACAGCAGTTCTACCCTGTCCTGTAGGCTTGCTATGAGTTGGCATTTACTCCATGGCACTGAGTTTACTCTGGGTATCGGGAAAGGTGTTTGGTGGGAGTTACATGGTACAATCAAATTTCACCCAAATACAATAATCTATTTTCCACCCTGGACTGTATCTTATTTATGAACTGGAGCTTCTGTCAAAATGTTTCCAATTAGCATTGACCTCTTTTTGGGGGAGTGGGGGTTGTGTGTGTGTGTGTTATTTTCATTGTGAGCTCATGTTTTGTTTTTTATCATTTTATTGGGGGCTCTTACATCTCATCACAATTCATACATATAGCCATTGTGTCAAGCACATTTGTACATATGTTGCCATCATCATTTTCAAAACATTTTCTTTCTACTTATGCCCTTGGTATCAGCTCCTCATTTTTTTCCTCCGTCCCTCATGAACCCTTGATAATTTATAAATTATTATTTTTCTCATGTCTTACACCAACTGCTGTCTCCCTTCACCCACTTTTCTGTTGTCCGTCCCCCTGGGAGGGGTTTATATGTATATCATTGTGATCAGTTCCTCCTTAGTCCCCACACCTTTCCTTACCCTCCTTGTATCGCTACCCTCATTATTGGTCCTGAGGGGTTTATCTGTCCTGGGTTCCCTGTGTTGCCAGCTCTTATCTGTACCCGTGTGCATGCTCTGGTCAAGCCAGTTTTGTAAGGTAGAATTGGGGTCATGATAGTTGTGGGGAAAGAAGCATTAAAGAACTAGAGGAAAGTTGTGTGTGTTTCGTCGGTGCTCTATTGCACCCTGACTGGCTCATCTCATCCTTGTGACCCTTCTGTAAAGGGATGTCCAATTGTCTACAGATGGGCTTTGGATCTCCACTTTACCCTCCCCCTCATTCACATCAAAATTATTTTTTTGTTTTGTTTTGGGTCTTTGATGCCTGATACCTGATCCCATTGACACTTTATGATCACACAGGCTGGTTTACTTCTTTCATGGGGGCTTTGTTGCTTTTTGAGCTAGATGGCCACTTGTTTATCTTTAAGCCTTTAAGACCCCAGACCCTATAACTTTTTGATAGCCAGGCACCATCAGCTTTCTTCACCAAATTTGCTTATGCGCCCATTTTGTCTTCAGCTGTAATGTCAGGGAAAGTGAGCATCACAGAGTGTCGGGTTAGTAGAACAAAGTGTTCTTGCGTTGAGGGAGTACTTGAGTGAAGGCCCAAAAGCATTGGCCTCTTACTAATTGTAATCAGCCAGGCTTTTCCCCAGGACACTCCAGAGTTTTCTTTCTCCTCTGAACTGTAGCATTACAATTGCTTATATCCGTTATAAGTAACAGTAATCCAGATAACCTTTAAACAGAGAGTGTGGTCCGTTTCACACCCTCTAATAAGGTCAGAACTTACTCCCATTCTTTTCCTGTTTGTTAGCAGATAATGCCCTCAAAAAAAAGATTGTAGAAGGGCATATTAATTGAGTATAACTGAATAGCAAATGTCTCTTCATGAAGTTGGTAGACCTCTCCTGTATGTCCTTTTTGATAAAGTGTCTGTTGGTATCCTTTGTCTATTTTTATTAGATTGATTGTCTTTCTGTTATTAAGTTGTTGAAGTTTTCTATGCAATTTAGAGATTAGACCCTTAGCTGATATATTATCACCAAAGATGTTTCCTATAGTTTGTTTTTTATTGTAGTTGAGATGAAAGTTTACAAAGCGAATTGGTTTTCTGTTCAACAATTTTTCACATTTTATTTCATAACTTTAGTTGCAATTCCCTCAGTGTAACAACTCTCCTCGCTTCCTTGTGGAGTTCCCTCTTTTTCTTTATCCTTCCTTCCTTCCCTTCCTGCCTGCTGAGCTATGTTCTTACCCAAATGCGCCCTTTTGATCTCGTATCAATGATTATTCTGAGTAGCATGTTCCTCACAATTTAAAAAAAATCATTTTATTGGGAGATCTTACAGTATTATAACAATCCATAAATCAATTATATCAAGCAAACTTCAACATATGTTGCCATCATCATTTCAAGACATTATCTTTCTACTTGAGCCCTTATTATCAGCTCTTCATTTTTATCCCCCTGAAACCTTAAGAAATATATATATGTTTCATATCTTACACCGTTCACTGTCCCTTCACCCACATTTCTGTTATTCGACGCCCTCTGGTGGGGTCTGTGTGTTATACGTCCATCATTGCTATCAGTTCCCCCTTTCTCCCTATTCCCCCCTCTTCCTCTACCCTCATGGTATCGCTGTTTCCACTACTGTTTCTGAGGGGTTTCTGTCCTGGCTTCCATGTGTCAAAAGCTCTTATCTGTAGCAGTGTACATACTCTGGTCTAACAGGTTTTGTGAGGTGATACTGAGGTCATGATGGGGGCTGGGGGGAAGACCATTAAAGAACCAGAGGAATGTTGTGTGTTTTGTCATTGCTATACTGCACCCTGGCTGAATCGCCCCTTCTGTGAGTGGATGTTCAGTTGTCTACAGTTGGGCTTTGGGTGGCCACTCTGACCCCTCTCCTTCACATCAATATAATTGTTTTTTATCTTCTGATACCTGATCCCATCTTCACCTTGTGATCACACAGGCTGGTGTGCTTCTGCATGTGGGTTTTGTTGCTTCTCTGCTAGATGGGCACTTGTTTAACTTTAAGCTTTTAAGACCACAGATCCTATATCTTTTAACAGCCAGGGACCATCAGTTTTCTTCACCACATTTGCTTATGCACCCATTTTGTGTTCAACAATCATGTTGGGAAGGTGAGTATCATGGAGTGGCAGGTTATTAAAACAAAGTGTTCTTTTGTTGAGGCAAGATTTAAGTAGAACCTCAAAGTCCGTCTGCTACCTTAATGATTTAAAATGTAAATATATGTACATATATCAATACCCCTATCCTTATATATTAATATATTTACATATGTACATACCTATGTTTATACATCTATATAATGGCTTTTGCCTCCTAGTTCGTTCTGTTTCCTTTTACTGTCATCCTGCCCCACTATCATGTTCACCTTTCATTCAGTTCTCAGTAATTCCTCTCAGCTACAATTGATCAAACCCCACCGTTCCTCACAAATTTTATTTTTCACGTACAGGCCTATCTGTTGCTTGGTTCTAAAATGATCCCCAGGGGTGGGTTTAGAGTCAGGGGTTCCACCAGTGTCTTATCACACAAATAAGGCTGTACTTGTTTATTACTTTGAACTTTGTTCTACATTTTTCTCCCATTCTGTATAGGGTTTTACGTACTCCTAATTTTAAACCCTGAGTTATCTTCCAAGACCTTTGCAGAGTGGTTGGTAGTGGTAGCGGGTCAGGGCGCCCTCTCGCTGTCGTCTCAGGGTTATAGGTTCTCTTTCTATTTCCTTGGTAAGGGTCATTAGTGCACATGAGTATTTAATTTTTAGGAAGTCTCAGTTATCTCATTTATTTCTCTCATTTTTGCATTTTTAGTTTTATTTGATACACTATTGATGCTGAAAAATTGGTCTCCTAATTTTAACCCTATATTATCTTTCAGGACCTTTATAGTTTTAGTGTCGACGGGATCGGGTACCAGGCATCAGAACACCCAAAACAATCATACACAGTACGCAATGGGACAAAACACTGGTCTATGCCGTTCCTATGATCCATTATGAATCAGAAGGTTGTGATCCATAGGTTTTTTAATTGGCTGATCTTCTAAGTAGATTGCCAGGGCCTCCTCCTGGTTTGTCTTAGTCTGGAAGTTCCACGAAAGCTTGTTCAGTGTCATAACAACACACAAGCCACCACTGACAAACAAAAGTTAGGTGCACATACTTGAATGTATGTGTTATCATCTATGTTTTATATTTTTACAGAAAAGGATTATTATACATATCCTTTTGTAACTTTTTTATTCATTCTGTTTGGGGGATTCATCCATTTTGAGTCACAGAAATTTAGTTCATTAATTTTAAATGCTGTAGGGGGTTTCCATTGTATTAATAAACCACAGAGTTTATTCATACCTCTACTTGGAGGCAGTACAATTGTCTGTTTGGAGGGAGGGTTGCTAATACAAGCAGATTTACAAAGACTACCCTTATATGTACACATGTCACATAAGGGCGTACCATGTAAGTAAAGTTGCTGGGTGGTAGAATTTCACATCTTCAGCCTTGTAAATCTTACTAATTTTCTTTCCAGAGTGGCTGACCTACTTATTCTATTCCTTTGAAATTTTATAAATGGTACTTTGCTTGTCTAGGTTTTAATATCACTGCGGGAGTTAATGAAGAAACAGGATTTGTGTTTGGAGGAAATCACTTAAATTGTGGTACATGGATGGATAAAATGGGAGAGAGTGACAAAGCTAGGAACAGAGGCATCCCAGCCACTCCCAGGTATTGTTTATTTTATAGTGCTGTTATTGTTAACACCCCTTTGAAAAGCCACAAACCTGTAGGATATTTTATTCTGTTAACCATCACGTCTTCATAATAATTCTGTTAAAATCACTCCCTCTCTCCCTCTCTCTTTCCCCTTTGCCCCTTCCCTGCTGCTGCTTGGGTTAACCCCGCCCCTGCCCACGGTGCACACACCACTCGCTGGGCCCGAGTCAGCAAGCAGAGTTGTGTATTTCTTGTTAGGTTCTCGTCAACGGATTCTATACAAACACCTCAGAGAAAAGTTTTATAATTCATTACCACAATGGTTAAACATTTCTTAACCTGAAGAGCTTTGGTTGTAAGCATGTCATTGTGGCCTGTCTTTTGTAGATAGGGAAAAGCACAAATTGTTCTGTCCTTTATGAAATCATTTCGCTCTCTACTGAGCCTTTCTATCCCATGATGTTTCCTATCTTCTGTCTCAGAGAGTGTTCCTTTTTGTTTATTCCAAATGCTAAGAACAGTCTCAGGATGATCATTCTTGTTTCAAATTTTATCTTTACTCATAATTGTCTAGAAACTGAATTATGTATTTTTCTTTTAACATGCTTCACAAATTTCTATATGACTTGTTTATTTTGACATATTTTTTAACTCTTAGCCTTCCTCTTTTCTACATTAAAAATTAGCTTACAAATCTTTTCTAAAACTTTTTCACTTTTCCCAGCTTTCTCCAGTCCTCTTTCCCATTTTTGCTGTCTTTCTCTAGTACTCGGGTCTCCAGATAGGAGCCCTAGTAGCGTAGCAGTTACAAGTTGGTCTTCAATTCGAGAGTCAGCAGTTCAAAACCACCAGCTGCTCTGCAGGAGAAAGATGGGGGTTTCTACCCCTAAGAACAGTCAGTGTGGGGAAGTCACGGGTTGTTCTTCTTGCCCTAGAAGGTCGCTCGCTATGAGTTGGCATTGACTCAGTGGCAAGGAGTTTGGTTTGGTTTTCTGGTTTCTAAAGTGTCTGATTTCTTACTCCTACCTCTTTTCAGATTTCTTTTCCTTTTATTCCACCATCCTCATTCTACTGCAGAGATTTTTTTTTTAATTTCTCTGTCAAGAAAGTAAGCAATTGGAAAATAATAAAAAGTTTCTTATATAGTGCACATTCCTGTGATCTGCTTTGCTTTATAGATACTTCCTAATGTACATTAGTAACTTAATCCATCAAAAGTAAATGTTTATGTTTTTTAAGTAGTGCTTTAAAGTCTCCAACTCACAGGATACAATTTATTTTTCATTTTAGAGATGGGTCTGCTGTGGAAATTGTGGGCCTGTGTAAATCTGCAGTGCGCTGGCTGCTGGAATTATCCCAAAAAAATATCTTTCCTTATCAAGAAGTCACAGTAAAAAGACATGGTAAACTGTTCATTTTATTTCCAACGATATTTGAATGTACTTTTTATATTCTCAACCTAATTGTTTGACTCACTAGGTTGATATTAGAAAATCCTTAAGAGGAAAGAAAAGCAATACATTTACTCATAGGAGTATTGTAAACACTACCAACCAAGTTTTTAATAGCAACATTAAACAGGTGTAAAAAGTAGTTAGTTATCAACTCACTGTGCTTCTCTCTTCCCTCAACATGACTATGAACTAGTTGTACTTCTGTAAACAGTTGTGAAATCCTCACAGCTCTTTTTCTAGAACAGTGCTGGCCAATAGATATACTAGTGGCTATAAAATTTAAAATCGTCTGGTAGCCCCATTGGGTCCCTACATTGTACAGGTAGTTTATGCTCTACCGTTTACCCGAAGATTGAAAGTTTGAACCCACCAAACAGGACTGCAGAAGTAACAAGCTGGCTCTTTGCTTCCATTAAGATTACAACCAAGAAAACTCTATTGGGACAGTGCTGCTTCACCACGAGTCAAAGTCTGCCACTGATCGCAGCTAACAAAGTCATCATTTTAAGCATGAAAAGATACAGATGAAATTAATTATGATCATCTATTTTAACTCTCAGCACGTATAAAATATTATTTCAACATGAGATCAATATAAAATTACTTGTGACACATTTTACATTCTTTTTTGAAAGTACTAATTCTTCAAAATCCAGTTTGTATCTTACACTTAACAACACATCTCACTTCAGACTAGTCACATTTCAAAAGCACAGTAAAGGAATTTTATCAAACATGTACAAATAATTCTAGCAAATAAGTCAGAGATACTATTTTGTAATGCAAAGAAAGATTTTTTTAAATTTCAGAGTAATGTCCTTCAGGGGACTGACTAAGGTTTCAAAAGGTAGGTAATTTGTTGCTTTCATGTAAATAAAAATGGGTAAATACCACGCTGTGGCTTCAGCTGTAGGTCTGGATTGATTTCATTGTTTAAAACTGCAATGTCTTTCATCATGTTTCAGGAAAGCTTGTCGCTGTCTCCTATGATGAATGGAATAGAAAAATACAAGGCCACTTTGAAAAGCTATTTTATGTTTCTGAAAATCCTTCAGATCCTAATGAAAAGCATCCTAATTTAGTTCACAAGCGTGGGATATACAAAGATAGTTATGGAGCCACAAGCCCTTGGTGTGACTACCAGCTCAGACCAAATTTCACTATAGCAATGGTTGTAGTAAGTGCCTTGTTTGTTCTTTCTTAATTTTTAAAATGCTCTGATAGCATTTATTTCCATGTTTTTAAATCCGTTTAATGACTTAAAGTACACTTGCATTGTTTACTATTTACTTTTGCATAGTCTTTCTTAATTAATGAAGTATTATTCTGTCACCTTAAATGTGTAACATTTAGTATTCTGAAAAAGAAAATAATGGCTACTGACTAATGAAGTGCTTTCATATCATGGCACAGGTAGCAAATAATGCTGTTTCTACAGTACCTGTAGTACCAGGCAAAGGGCATTCCACTGCTTGTGCCAGGTCCCTTGCTTGAGTTAGCCCTAGACCCTACCCAAGTCCTTGGAAGCTGAGAGTGTTATGTTTCATCACACCTGTACCCGAGTGTGCCACGCTGGCATTCCACAGTCAGGGTCACAGCACCCTATTGGGAACCTCTGGACTGGTGAACTACTCTTTGTTGTATTGCTGTAAGTAGTTCTGTCCAGCCAAGAACTCTTGATTCACTCCTCATCTCAGCTCTCCTTGGCCTGAAAATAAACTATAAGAAGAGTAAATAGAAAAGGTATAAGCTCTGCTATTCCTGCAACTATTCGTTTTATCAAAAAAGAGTATTAAACATGTTGCCAAAATTATAATAGTATTAAAAAATTCAAAGGTAAACAAAGGTAGCTTTACATTTGATTTTCTTTACCTATTAAAATTAATGCAATTAATTACCAATATAGTCTCTCCTGTTCCATGTGACAAGGAAACTTACTCTTCCTATAAAGAGCAAATTCTTCCACTTTATGTTATGACCCCAGAAAAGAAACTATTGTAAATCTTCTGAAGCCTGAAATACATTGTATTCTGCCTTCGTGAAGCTCAGCAGGTGGCAGTTTCCTTTGAAAGCAGTACATTTTCTTGAAGCAATACAAGGAAGTCATCACCTGTAACAGCGTCCCTGCCCAGTAAGGCTGAGAACACACCTCCAGGCATGCCTCCTAGAATTAGCTCTAGTTTTGTGCTTTTCCAACTTTGTGCATAATAACCATGAGCGAAAATGAATTCTTCAGTGATCTTACAAAGTTTTTTTAATTTGTTTTTGACATTGATTAGGCCCCAGAACTCTTTACTGCAGACAAGGCATGGAAAGCTCTGGAGATTGTGGAAAAAAAATTGCTCGGTCCCCTTGGCATGAAAACTTTGGATCCAGAGTAAGTTGGAAAATAAGTGTTGAGAATGTTGCTGGTAATATATTTTGTCCAAATATATTGATATCAACCATCATTTTCTCCTTATCAATAAAATCTCTAAAATTGTATTCAGTTATAAGAGCTGTAAGATCCCCCAATAAAATGATTTCTAAATAAATAATATTGCAGTCAAATTGAGTTTTTTTAAAATACCTTCTCTATCTTCATTAAGCATTTGTATTCCAGAGCTTTTGTTTATCCTGTTGTTTAATAACCAAGACAAAAAAGAGTTTAAAGTCTATAGAAGAAGTCATGAATATTTTCTAATGTTTTCTAATGTTTATTTTATTCTGACTGTAAAAGTAATACAGATTAAATTTTTTTTAAAGTAATGTAGATTGTGGACATTGGAAAGTACAGAGACATATAAAATAAAAAATGTCTTATAATTTCTTCAACTAGAGATAACATCATTGTCATCTGGTATGTTTCCTCAGCCTCTTCTGCGCATTTTGTTAATGGTTATAGAACCATACTATGTAGACAGAACCAAAGGTTCTGGTGGCACAATGGTTAAGGCACTTGACTGCTAACCATAAGGTCATCAATTCAAACCCACCAGCCTCTCCATGGGACTATGCCCTTGGGAACTCTTGGGGCCATTCTCCGTAGTCCTGTGTGGTCGCAGAGTCAGACTGATATGACAACAGTCTCTTCATGGATAGAACTGTGTATTCTCTTCTTTTAATTGAATGCTTTACACAGACATTTCCTGTGTGAATAAAGAGTATTTGAAAACTTCATTTTTTTCTGCTGCATGTTATCTCATATCAAATTTTTGTTAAACATTTAAATTACATTTATTTTCATGGAAAATTATTGTAAATAAGGCCACAATAAACATCTTTAAGCATAAAGATTTGTCTCTAGATTAATTTTTTTAGAATAAATTGATAGGGGAATTACTAAGCTTAAGAGAATGGATATTTCCTTTTTCATTGAAGTAATACATGCAGACAGAGGATGTATATAAAAATTATTTGTCCCTTGTGGCATCACCTACCTCCTTCTACTGCTGTTTCTCAGAGACAGTTATTTTATTTTCCCCAACATTTCCTTTTGTGTTTCTGGATTATATGTGTATGCAGCTGTTCCATAATTTCGATATTTAAATCTATAGTTCCTTTTTACTGTATGCATACCATATTATGTTTTATTTCTTTTCTAACTTTTTTCTTGAGTTTTTAATGATTTTTCTGTTCCTTATGATGTTTTCCTTTACAGCCTGATTCTCATCATCAGCTTTCTTTCTTTCTTTCTTTGTTCAGCTTGCTTCTATATCAGGGTATGAGAAAAGCCCATCTCAACAGTTTGTAGATTTATTTCTACCTTACTGTGTACGCAGTTCTGTCCTCAGATACAAAATTTGATACGTGTATGTCTATGAACCTTTTGAGGTGTTTCAGTGGAGTTGGGAACCTACCAGTGAAAAGTAAACCCCACAGTTAAGGCTCACTCATGTGGCAAGTTCTGTTTCTCTGAGAAAAAAGAAAAGCCATAACTTCATCAAACCAAGAACATATACCCCAGTATTAGCTAATACAATAAGTTGACAGCATTTTAATGAGCTTATAAGTGTGTTTTAAGCCCTATATGTTATGGCACTGTGTGTATTTAATTTCTCATTGTAATCTGAAAATGTGAACATTTTAATTTTAAAATAACCATATTTGGAACTTAAAAAAATTATCTTGCCAGTTAATAATAATTAACAAAACCTCATATTTAATGTTCACTCATAAAAAATGTTTACTCGTTTTAATGTATATTTTAATTGCAGTATATTAAGTATATGTATACATATAGTTTTAAAATATATATTTAATATTTTAATTACCATAATGATTTTAAGCTTAAATAGTTGCCTTTAAACCAACTAATATTTAGTGTCAGAACAACTGCTTGAGTACTAAAGTCCCTGGATACTTTATATATTTTTTCACATTAGCCCATAGATCTTCATTAATAATTTTCCTAACATATTATTAAAGCCTTTTGAACTTAGTAACTAAGTGTGTGCTTTTTTGAAGATTGGAGGGCAAATAATCTGATTATTTCTCTTTATCTTTGGTATTGGGAATTTTTATGTGCTTCTTATATCTTGCCTTTTGTTTAATTTAAATTTTGATTCTTTTGCAGTGATATGGTTTACTGTGGAATTTATGACAATGCCTTAGATGATGACAACTACAACCTTGCTAAAGGTTTCAATTATCATCAAGGACCTGTAAGAATCTTATTTTTCTCATCATAGTTTTCAATTAAAGTTATTTTGTAATAATCTTAGATATTTATATTGCTTTTAAATTTTTACTTTTTAATTATCCTTTTTAGGAGTGGCTGTGGCCCGTTGGTTATTTTCTTCGTGCAAAATTATATTTTTCAAAATTGATGGGTCCAGAGGCTAATGCAAAGGCTGTGTTTTTGGTTAAAAATGTTCTTTCCAGACATTATGTTCATCTTGAAAGGTAAGTGAGGGGCATGAAGCTTCTATATAATACATGGAATATATTAATATAAAAGTAATGCAATGTTTAGTCCATTTGGTAAATATTGCATCTTAGATAGAACATCCCCTAAAACTCAAGGTTATATGTATACTCAAGGTATCCCAATGAAATTCAAAACCTACTTTTTCTTCCTTGCCCATTGATTCTTCTGTATTTTAACTGCTCAGATGCATGGAAAGATCAATTTAAAACACTATTTTCAAAGAAGAAACTTCAAAATTGTCTAGAGAACAAACAAAACTATGCAAATTGTCCCTTGTGTCCTGAGCGGAAAGTATTTTAAATTTTCGGTTGGGTTTACTCGGTCAAATCATAGTATAAGCTACAAAACCATCAGAACCAGCTCTCTCCACTAAAGTATAGTCTCCTGAATTATATATAGCAATTGTACTTCCTTTAAATGTTTTATTTGTAACGGGCTGCTTCATTCAGAAATATAACTTCCCAATTAATCCTACAATCTTATACAACATTCTGGGCTTCTCTAGAGGACTTCTTTATCTTGGACCCTAAACTCAACTTACAAATTAACTATGATTATATTTTTCTAGTGTAGGTAAGTAGTATAACAAAAAGACTACCATTTTAACATTTTAAAATATGCTATTCACTCACACTAATTATATTCACCATTTTGCACTACTATTACCACTACCCACCTAATTTTTTCAGGTAGTTCTTTCCCCATCCTTAGATATTTTTCTCTTGTAAATTCATTGATCAACACCCTGTGAATATTTGAGTAAAAGCCTCGTTCTCTCTCGGTGTGCAGCTCTCTTCCCTTGAGTACTCTAGCTCTTTGTGGCTCACAGGTTTTGATCACCTGCTCTGGGAGACGTTTGCTGCTGTGAGCTTGACCTCCTATCTGTTGGGTTCCTGGTATCTGTTCTGTGTTCCGCTACCCTCCCATCCTTCTTCCCCACATTGCTCTATCCCACCCAATGGCTTAGCGATGCATTTTTCAGAATAGGACGAGAAAGGGAACATTCTTACACTGGTATGGGTATGTAACATGTTACAGTGTCCAAATCTAATTCTGAGTGGCATTGTGGTTCTTTTATTGTCCTTTAGTATGGTAATCATATACACAACCTCAATAATTTGGCATTTTACTCAGAAGTAGCTTGAGCACTTGGAAACAAATAAATTTCTTCTGTTTCATGTTTCTCTATGATAGTTAAGAAGAGAAGTACCTAGCTGATATTATTATTAGTGACTCTCCAAACTATCTCCATATTTACCTGAGGGGATTATGTTTTTCCAATTTTTATTCTGAAATATTTGATACCTACCAAAGAGTATATATAGCATAGCTATGAGTTATAAAGCATAATACTAAAACATGTTCCCACAGCCCAACTTCAAAGTAAAACATTATAGATTCTATATTTTTATTTTTAAAAATGTTTGTCTCGTGCTTAAGGGATTGCATTGAAATTAAGAATACATTTGAAATGCTAATAATGCTATGTTCTGAAAGCAGGAACTAGACAAACTATTTAGCCTCTCTCTGTCCCTTTGTCCGCTCTATAAATAGAAATAACTATGGAACTTATTGCCATGAGCTGTACATGAGATACTGTACAGAAAGCACTTACTATTGGAACATGAAACATTTACAATAATTATCAAATATTACTTAGTAGAATGAGATATTAGCATCTAAATTCAAACTATTTTTAGTTAACCTTTTTCCTAACAGTGATTCTCAGTGTTCCTTCATTATTTCTTAGAATTGTTATACTGTTATAAATATCAGACATAATACCGCTATATAATTATAACTTGAGGCTTATAAACTTAATGTAATGACTTGGAAAGAAATAAAATTAGGCCTGAAGATATTTGTATGATGATTTCTTCTATTTTTTTAATACATCAAGAGATTCCTTAATATTTGAAAGCCTTAAAACCCAAGAGTATCAAAAGAAAATTTCAATGTATAATCTTTGTATGTGCCATGTCTCATATCTCTTTAGGACTTTCTGTTTTGTTTTGTTACACATGGCCATATAGGTTTGTTGTATATACTCAACTTACTGCTATGGGCTCAATTCTGACTCATAGCAACACAGCGGTCAGAACAGAACTGCTCCTGTGGGTTTCCGAGGCGTTAATCTTTATAGGAGCAGGAAACCTCCCCTTTCTCTCACAGTGTGGATGGTGGGTCTGAACCCCTGAACCTGTGGTTAGCAGCTCAATTCATAGCCCACTCTGCCACAAGATATGAATTAGATTATATCTCATTATGTCTTTTTTTTTCTTTAAGATCCCCTTGGAAAGGACTTCCAGAGCTAACCAATGAGAATGGCCAATACTGTCCTTTCAGCTGTGAAACACAAGCCTGGTCAATTGCTTCTATTCTTGAGACACTTTATGACTTATAGTTGATTCATGAATATTTATTAAGTATGCAATCACTTTGTGTTGTAGACTGAAGTTCACCATAGAATGTAAATGGAAAATCCTTGTATGTGCAGACTCCAGTCAAAATCTTACTTAATAACCGTACCCATTTAGAGACTGTCAAAGCATTGGTTTTTAAAAATTTTTCTTGGTTTTAATGTACAGATTTAGCTTTTAATTTGAATCAGAAAGAAGTCTTACCATTACCAATGTAATGTTTTTATTTTCAATTCAGGAAATTCAAGTGCCTAGAAATCCAGAGTTTAAAAAGAAAAATCATGTAATCTCTTGTTTGTACATAAACAGAAATAAAACCTAAAAATCTAATAATGAAAGAAATGGGAAAGGTATCTTTAAATTGGTTTTTAAGTTTTCTTCAGTAACCATACATACTGACCAGACTCGGCTTCATCACCTCATTACTATAGTATTCTTAACACATCGCACACTGCATTCAGCATCAGCTAGATTAATGTTTTCAGTGATGGAAGTATCCACCTACAACATTTGTTCATGAATGAAGCTATTTTTTTCACTAATACATTACTATGTGTTTTTAATATAATAAATGCCAGTAGGATTCTTAACATGATTTACTTGTGCTAATGATGCATAGCACCATAATTCATCTATGAAAAAAACCAAAACAAAAACCACAACATTAGAAAACTGTATTCCCAATGATGAGGGTAGCAAATGTACAAATGTGCTTTATACAATTGATGTATGTATGGATTGTGATAAGAATTGTATGAGTCCCCAATAAAATGATTTTAAAAAAATGTATTCCCTAAAAACAGTATTGTAAAATTAGTCCAATTTAGTTTCCTATTATGAGATTGTTTACCTCTTCAAAGTACAGATTGTTATTTATGAAACTTTAAGGGAAAATGAATGTTATATTAATTCTCTAAAACTTAGCAACTATTTTTAATTTGTCTATAAAAGTTAATTGATAGAATATAGATTATTCTAAAGTAGATACTAGCTTTATGTTTGCCCAAACCTACATTGACAAGTTTAGAGAAAACTGAAATAAATTTAGAAAAATTTTAATATGAAGAAAATAAATGAATCCAGTAGTTACAGGAATTCAGTAAAATCTCATGAAATGTTTTTCATGTTACATTTTTTTAAGATTGCTTAAATGTGAAAAGGATTTCAAAGCTTTTATGAGTTGACATTTTATAGTACATATTTTCTAAATGGACTTGTTTTTCAACGGTAAAACCTGTTCTTGAAAAAATACAAACATAAACTCATTCTGTCACTATAATTTCACTGTTTTGTGTCAAGAAGACAATTCAATTAGATCGTTATGCCTGGAGCTGGGAACATGAGTGCAAAAATTGAAAAATTGTTCATGATTAGTGTTATATTTATAGTTGATAAAACAATGGTAGTAACACTATTTGCAGTGAGAGGAAATCTAGTTAATAATCATACCCAATAAACTTAACTGTCACTCAAAAAAACAAAAATCAAAGGTAAGATGTCACATACAAGGCTCTAAGGTTTGTCCTAAGATTACTAACACACTCTCACTCAAACTGACCCTACTTTAGAAATTATTTTATTGGATTAGATTTGGGAGTTCCTATTCTAAAGCAAATTAAATCCTAGAATTCTAAGGATAATAATCTGAACATCATCTATAAACACATTGTTTTCTAAATTCCCTTTCAACATTGGTCAGAGTATAATCTTAAACAGTTTATAATCAGTAAAGAGAAATGAACTTCAAAGAAAAAGGAAGAACTTCCTTGAGTAGAAGAATCATAAGCTCATTAAAGATTCATGTGATTATATTACTCTAACTTCTATATTAAAAGTCATTAGTGAGGTAACAGAAAGTAGGCATATTTAACCAAAGTAAGAAGCAATAGCTGACAATTAGATAAGACAAAATATAATGAGATGACAATTATGATAATGTGTTGCAGGAGAAACTTAAACGGTTCTTATTCTTAATAAGGAATGTTAATGAAAGAACATTGTTATATTTTGCATGGATCACTTTTAAGCTTAAGAAGGCATGTTACACAGTGTTTTATCAAAAGTAGTTAAAGCTATATAGTTTTAGACTTTTAAAGAGAAACATGTCATTTGACTACAGAACCTTTAGATAGAATGCTTTATGCTTGAGTGATGCTAGATGGCGTACTACTATATTACATTTCAACAATGAAATGCTTCTGTATCTTGCTTCTTCGCTAATCCAAATCAGTCTTATTCTGAAACACGAGAAGGAAATTTGCAGTGTAACTAGTAGGCTGTGATATTTTAATAAATTTTCAAAGATAATTGAGGAAACATGAAACTTGTTCATCATATCTGTGTCTACAATAATGTGAGTCAATTATAATCCATTTCTGATATGTCTTCTGCAGCTCTCTGCAGCAGACAAATGTCATTTTTATGTTTGTGTGCCAAGAAATAAAATTTTTTCTAAAGGACCATATTCTGCTCATCGTTTCATTATTAACCGATTGATGCTCATCACTGTGTAGATGTTCATCTACATGTGTAATGATTGTTTATTTGGGGTGCTTGCCTTTTCATGGTATCAGGGTTTGTAAGATAGGACCTGTGGTGGCCAAGAGAGGAGGGAGAATTTTAGGCTGTTTGGTCATTTATTTAGCCATTCAAAATTCAGAAGAAAACAATTCAATTGCATAGTGACTCTATAGGAGAGTATAACTGTCCCTGTGGGTTTCTGAGACTAACTCTACTTTGGGGCTTTCTACTCCCACAAAGATTTAGTCGTGGAAACCCACAAACATAAAAATGGCAAGAGGAAGAAGACCCTCCATGCGTGGATTGGTACAGTGGCTGCGACAGTGAGCTCACACATAGCATTGTAAGGTTGGTGTGTGACGGGAGTGTGTCATTCTGTTGTACATGGAGTTGCTAGAAGTCCGAAGTAAGTCAATGGCAACTAACAGCAAGAGTCCAGAAATTCAAGGACATTAGATGACATCAAGATAATAACACAATGTATTTAAAATGTTTGACCTCTGTGAAACGCTGTGAAACT